AAACTGATCAGCTTGCACCCCGGGAGTGCTCGGGGGGCCGATTCTGACCAGGTCGCCGCTGTCTCAACCGGCCTCCCGTGCATGGACATTATATTCGAACCCTGTGGCCCAAGATGCCCACCAGACCCCCCGAAATCAACATTGATGGCGTGGCGACGGGGGGGGGCGCGAGTGGACTGAAACATCCGAGCCCCAAAGCACCGCCTTTACTGCGATCAACATCGATGTCGGGGGCGCGGGGGCGATCCAGAATCCCCTTCGAATGTGTAAAGGCTCGAATCTATGTTGAACCTGTTGTCCCTCCGATCCAAGGCAGCAGGTGTGCTCGGCCGCGCCCGTGAGCACGGCGGGGTAACCTTCGAGGTTGCATGTCCGCCCTGGGCGCGGCGGGGCATCGCCGTGGCGAGGATGTGCTGTCCGGGTATTCGTGGGACAGGGGGGGAGGGAAGCGGGGGCGAGCAGGAGGGACGGGGCGATGGGGACGTGGGAGCACGGTAAGCCTTTCCCGAGTCGGAGGCCAGGGCCGAGCCGCTCGGACGCAGAAGCAGCATTCGATTGTGTAGATGCGCTTGCTCCCCGGTTGTCGCCCACCCGCTACTTTCCTGATCACCCCCCCACATCCCAACTTGGGTTCTTGTTTTCTCTGGACACCCCCTCGCAGGACAACAGATTTCCCTTTCTTCCCCTCCTCATTTCACACTCAGCATCAATAACACACCGTTATCATCATCATCATCATCATCATCATCATCATCATCATCATCATCATCATCATCATCATCACCATCACCATCACCATCTCATCATGACCATCGGTCGTCATCATCACCACGCCATGTTTTCACACCCACCATCACCATCACCATCATCACCACCACCATCACCATCATTAGCATCATCATAATAATGATAATCATCATCATCGTCATCATCATCACCATGATCGTACCACCATCCGTCTCACAACAATCCCATCACGATCACCGGTTGTCATCATCACAATCATCATCATGATTCATCATCATCATCGCACTAACGGACCCACCCACTCGCGTGCACCCACAACCTCATTCAAGCATTCACATATTCATCTTGACGAAGTCTCGAGCGGTAGCCTGGTCTCTGAGTGAACTGCGAGGGCGTCTCGAGCGGTTGCCCCCTCGCTATGCTGCCGCCGGCTGATGTTAAAGGGCCATCCCAAACCTGTATTTGTCACTTCGGGGCCCCCGAGGCATGAATCAGGAGGACGTCTGTCTCGAGCGGGAGCCTCGTCTCCGAGTGACTTGCGAGGAAATGTCGAGCGGGAGCCCCCTCCCTATGCGGCCGCCGGGTCAAGTCAGTAATCCCAGCGAGGCATCCAACATTTTTATGTGTCCTTTCTCCGGAGCTCCTGGGGCATGAATCTGGAGAGCTGTAGAACGTCTCGGGCGGGAGCCTCGTCTCTGCGTGAATTGCGAGGAGAGGTCCCCAGAAGGCGCCCCCTCCCTATGGGGCCGCTGGCTCCCGTTACTCATCCGGGCGGAGCACCCCCAGACCTGTATCTGTCGTCACTTGTGGGTCCCTGGGGCATGCATGTTGAGGACGTCTCGAGCGTGAGCAGGAGGACGAGGAGGAGGGAGGAGGAGGAGGAGGAGGAGGATGAGGAGGATGAGGAGGAGGAGGGAGGAGGGAGGGAGGGAGGGAGGGGAGGGGGAGGAGGAGGAGGAGGAGGAGGAGGTAGGAGGAGGAGGAGGAGGAGGAGGAGGAGGACGAGGAGGAGCACACCAGCGGCGCGAGGAGGCTCCAGGAGGCCCCGGGAGGCCTCAGGAGGCAGCAGGAGGCCCCGGGAGGCCCCACGAGAAGGCAGGAGGCCCCTGGTTGAGGCGGAGGGGGCAGGACGAGGAGGAGGAGGAGGAGGAGGAGGAGGAGGAGGAGGAGGAGGAGGAGGAGAAAGAGAAAGTCGAGGAGGAAGAGAAGGAGAATGAGGATGAGGATGAGGATGAGGATGAGTATGAGGATAAGTACGAGTGTGACCAAATGACAGGGTCAACACATGCCAACATGACGCGTATCATGCACATTGTGGCATGATTGCATGAATCAGAGACGGCCTCGTCACCTCTCCTCGGTAGTTGTCAACACCTTGGGCTATAACCCTCGGCTGATCTTGTCAAGATATTCCACACGATTGGGGGTAATCCGACAGGTGCCAAGACACTGCCTACCAAAATTGCACACTTGACGGGTGGCAGAATACCCGCACGCGCGACGATACAAACGCTTAAGTCGGGTGTGATACTGCATGCCATGAGACTGATGCACCTACCCCGCCGCTATGTGCAGCCTAGCTTGGGGGGGTTATACAGGATTGACCTGTCATGGTGAAGGGGCTGAAGACATGAGCTATTACGCCACTCAGTGGCAGTGGCCCTGGAGGCCGATCCGCCGCAACGCGTGCACTTCCTACCAGAGTCATCCAGACAGTGTGAGGATGAGAAGAGGGAGAGCGAAGCAGCAGAAGGAGGACGAGGGGGGAAGGCGTTCCTGTTTTTTCTCCAGGCCCCAGGGCGGCATCCGCCTCCGTCGCATCCAAAGTGGCACGGAGAAGCCTGAGCCGCACAGGTCGGGCCCTCCGCTCCTGCAACAGAACTAGCTGCCGAACCGACGTCGGAAGGCGAACCGCTTTTGCAGCTGCTCCTGCGATGACATCGCTGCTGCCTTGCCTGTGATCACCCACCGGGGCGACGACTTGGCGACCACTTAGTCTGCACCATGATGGGCGTGAACGAAAAGCGCTGACCCTCCTGTCGTCCACCAGCAGCAAGGTGTGTGCCCAAAGGCCGGCATCGGTGCCCTGCGGGTGCTCATAACGTCGAGCGTACCAGCCCGTCGCCACAGCGTCACACTCAGTCACTCACAGAGCACTGCCAGACGCTACCCAGCATGCTAAACGAAAGGATCGCAATTCACATCGGGCGACGGACTGTCGCACGCCTGTGAGCCGTCCACTGATGGAGCCCGAAACGCACGCCGCGGGCTCCAACGAGTTGGAACGGCAGATGGCCACGCCAACCCGTCGAAATTTCGTGTTGTTTGGGGGGCATGTTGGGGGGCCCCTTTTGATTTTCTTGGGGCGTCCTGGGCACCTGGGGGTCCCCTGGAGCACCCTTGCGGGCCTCGGGGGCCACCTGGAGCCATCTTTCTCGAATGGGATCGATCAAAGAATGGGGGAGCTTCCAATGCGCGTTGCCTCCCCCCCCACCCACCCCACATGAGGCCAAACTGTGGCCAACAGCATAGTAAGATCAATGCTGTTGGCCTTGTCGCCAATGCCTCTTGGGGCATATTGAGCCCCTCCCGGGGGGCTCTTGGGGGTCTATTGGGCGCCTCTTGGCCGCATCTTGGGGGCCTCTTAGGGGACCTGTTGGGGCCTCCTGTGCACCTTTTGGGGCAGTATTGGGGCACCCTTTGGGGGCCTCGGGGGCCGTCTTGGAGAAGATTGACTATCGGAGGGGGCTCCTCAATTAGCGTTGCCTCTCCCCCAGGAGGCCAACATGTGGCCAAACCCGTGGACACATCAGTGATGTTGGCTTTGTCGCCGAGGCCAAAGCAGACCATCTGACAATTCGCAGAACCTCCCGTCTAGACCCAGGGGTGGGGGGGTAGGGGGAGGCGAGGAAGGCGCAAACCCTCCCCCCAAGGGGAGGAGGGAAGATGGACGAGGAAACACTCTGAACAACTCACGCCCTAAAGGGCTGGTGGGGTTACCCCTCTGTCCACTGCCTTTCCCCGTTGCCACGGCCCGCTGTTGTTCCACTTCCTTCTCCGACTGCGATGTTTGTTATTGTTGCGATCCCGTTTCCCACCACTACTGCTATTAGCGTTCCCATTAATAGTAGTTGTACTACTACTACTACTACTACTACTACTACTACTACTACTACTACTACTACTACTACTACTACTACTACTCCTACTACTACTATTACTACTACTACTACTACTTCTACTACTACTACTACTGCTACTACTACTACTACTACTACTACTACTACTACTACTACTACGACTACTACTACTACTACGACGACTACTACTATTATTACTACTTCGACTACTACTACGGCTACTACTACTTCTACTACTGTTACGACTACTACGACGACCACTACTACTACTACTACTACCAGTACTACTGCTACTACTACTACTTATCATAATTACTATGTGTACTACACTACTACTACTACTATTACTACTGATACTACTACTACTTCTGGTTACTACTACGGACGACTACTAATTACTCTACTTCTACTATACTACTACTTACTACTACTACTACTACAGTACTACTACTACTACTTACTACTTGCTACTACTACTACTGTTCACCCTTACGCGGTACCACGTTGCTACTACCCATACTACTACTTACTTTACTACTACTACTGCTGCTGCCTACTACAATTTACTACTACGACGAACTACTTAGCTACTACGGCGACGACTACGACTACTACGATTTTATTACTACGACGACGACGACGACGACGACTACTACTCTACGATTACGGCCTTGCACTACTACTACTACTACTACTACTACTACTACTACTATTACTACTACGACGACTACTACTACTACTACTACGACTACTACTACTGCTACTACTACTACTACATACTACTAATACTACTACTACTACTACTACTACTACTACTGCGAGTGGAAGACTGCGACGACTTCGACGAGTACCACCACCCGCTCCTGCTGCTCCTGATCCCCGCTGCTGCTCTGCCCCCGCCCCTGCTCCTGCCTGCCATCCCAAGCTCCTGCAACGAATTCTGGTCCTGCCCCTGCCCCTTGCTCACTCTTGCTCCTCTTTCCTGCTGGTCCTTGCTCCTGCCAGTCCTCGCTCCTGCCTCTGCCGCTCCTTCCCGCGGCACCCCGGCCCCGCTAGACCGGCAGCCGCCGCCGCCGCCGCTGCCGCCGCCGCCCTCCCCCCGTCCCACAAGAGGCCGCGAAGCTGCTCTACAACTCGATCCCCAACAACGCGAAGCTCGCGTCCTGCCGCGCGCCCAGCTGCCCCCCCCCCCCCTCGCCGCGGGCTCGCTGGCTCGTGCCGACACGCTGGCCAGGGGGCGGCCATCATTGTCTCGCAGGCGGCTGCTGGTTTATGCCTCCCCCTTTCTGCCCTGTCTCCAGCCGCCGTCCTCTCTTGCATTGCCATGTTTCTCCTCCTTCGCTTCTCCTCCTCCTCCTCCTCCTCCTCCTCCTCCTCCTCCTTCTCTCCTCCTCCTCCTCCTCCTCATCATCATCATTATCATCATCCTCGTCTATCTTCCCTCTCCACCTGATATAAAATCCTCCTCCCCCTTCTCTTCGTCCCTCCTCCCACTCTGTCTCCTGTTGTTAGTCCTCCTCCTCCTTGCCCAATGGGTTATTGCTCATGGGGGCGCTTTTGTGGAAGTTTTCTGGCTGATATCTGGGATTATTCACGGATGTGGGCTCTCGGGCCCCTTTGGATGTTCTGGCCTCAGCCCCGATGCTCCAGGACCTGGAAGAGAGCTTGGAGGTTGTCGGGAAAAGGGGTGGGACGTGCGTGCGCTGACGATTTGGGGGTGGCCTTGTTCGAGTTTGCTTTTTTTCAGATCATCTTTGAGGTTCTGCAGACTATGAAGTTGATTATGGGCGTTCCTATTAAGATGAGTAAGTGCACTGTGGTTCCCCTCGTGGGCTCGATCTCTGATGCTCTCCGAGGCGAGGTTCGTGATCTCCTGGGCCGTTATGCTCCTGAATGGGCTGAGCTCGGTATTGAAGGATGTATGCTCTATCTTGGCGTCTGGCTCGGACCAAGCGCCAGTGTAGGTCGGTGCTGGTGTGACCCCGTCGCCAAAGTCCGCACAAGAAACCGCATGCTCAGCCGCACCGGTGCGGCGAATAGTGTCAACTCCGCTCTGTACCGTGCTCGCGTTCACTCTGTTTTTACTTATGTTGCCCAGTTTGTCCTGATGCCGCCCAATTTCCTCACGTTCGAGAGAGGCGTGGTCTCGCAGGTCTTGCGGTGCCCGCTCGGCATGCTCAGCAATGAAGCTGTCCCTGAACTCTAGTGATGGGGCGGGCCGCGGCTGCCTGCATGGGCGGCTCATGCCTCCGCTGCACTGCTTCGGGCTGCTGCCATCACCTTCCGCGACTTCCCGACCTACCTCGACCTGATGAGGGCCAAAGCGATCGGCTGGCGGCAGGAAGTTGCCGACGGACATTTTGATGATATTCCGTTCTCCGCCACCGTTCGGACGCGCCTGTACCCCAGGTTCTGGAAGGCGCCCGCTTTCGTTGAGAGCCTCGATGGCGTGCTCTATCAATCCTCCGACGACTGGATGGTGGCCGCTCGGGCCTCTCTTTTTGACGAGCTGTCCTGCACTGACCGTCGCCCTCGGCCTCAACGTGCTGTTGCCGCCACTCTTTCGGGCCTTCTCGCTGCTGAGCGCGCGCTGAGCCGTGCCATCGAGAGGTACTTGGGCAGGATTCTGTGCGACCACGAGCTTTTCTTGCATCGTGTCCATTGGGAGAAGATTCGCGAGCTTATGCGCCTCCTTCCGCAGAGCTGGGCCACGGCCGCGATCGGGACATGGAACAACGGCTGGTTGACGTCTGCCCGCATTATACATCCCGATGGCCAACTCCGTTGTCGCTTCGGATGCAGCCGATTTGATCAGCTCTCGCACTACATGGTGTGCCCGCGGCTACGTCTCGCCACGGGTCGAGCTCTTCGTCGAGACCTGCCTGTCTTGCTTCCAGCACGCCTGGGCCTCGCGAGCCCGAGAGATCTGAGGAGATGTATGTTGTTTGCCATATTTTTAACATGTCCAGGGAGCGCGGCGGCACCATTGCCCCCATAGCGCGGCTGCTGCTGCGCGGTATCTTCGTCTTTCGCGACCAGCGCGGACGTTGCAGGAGGGGATCCAGCCGCCGCGGTTGATTATGGGCTCCACTCGCATCAACTGTCTCTCGTCAACATCCGACTCCAGCACGACGTCAGACTCCAGCTCCTCGGACGCAGTGTGTGCTGCGCCCCCGACGGTCCGCCGAGGCCTGTACCTGCTGGGAGCCCTGTCAGAGGTGAAGCAGAATGGTGTCTAGCGAGATGTGGGCTGACCATGCGTCCCGCATCTGATGTCTCTTGTGGTTATCGGCCGCGTTCTGCCATCGATGAAATTGCGATTGAATTCATGAACCAGTGCCAGACCATCCTCCGATCTTGTCCTCGTGATGTTGCTTCTGCAGGGTCGTTTTCTGCGGTTGCCGCGTCACCAGCAATTGCGTGCTCTCTGCCGACTTCGTGTTCGAGCGGATCAGGAGTTGGGGGCGCCCTCAGATTGCCCCAGTCTGAGCCTTGCGTGCGTCAGATTCATGAGCTGTCGTCTGCTTTTCTTTCCCCTTCCATAGCCACTCCCCCATCGCTGTCCGCTCTCTCTGTTGACTCCCATACGTCCACCTATTGCGTCTATTCCCGCTCGCGCGATGCCGTCGAGACGATTTTTCTCCACTCGTCCTGTATCTAGCTCTCCACGTGATCTGCCCCGACCCGACCGCGTCGCCTGTTTGTTGCCCCCGCGTACTCTTTTCCACCTCTCTCCCTCTTGTCCGTCGCCCCCGATGGCTGCTGCGGATGCCGCCGCTGCTGCCCCCCGCCCGCCCCCCTCCACCGTCGCCGCCGCCAGCCCCTCGCGCGATATAGCATCTGCTGCGCCTGTCGGGCCCCTCGACCAGTCGCTGGGCGCGAAGAACGCGCCTGGCGCCCCGCCGCAGTAGGTGGGAGGACACGCGCCCCCCCCACGCTCGTCTCCTCCTCTTTCTCCTCTTCCTTCCGCGCCCATTTTGGCTCAAGATTTCTTTCTTGGGCCCCCCTTATGGACATGAATATCGCTAATCCGCGGTCAGTCCTCGCATTCTTGCAGCTGCGCCCAGAGACGTACTGCCGCCCATTCCTGCTTACTTCTCTGGCGGCGCAGGCCGCCTTCCATATCTGTGTCTCGCCGAGCGCCGCCCCGGGCGCCCGCGTCGTCTCGTCGAGCCCCGCTCCAAGCATCCAGATCGCTCCGCTGTGCCCCGCTCCGAGCATCCATATCCCCGCCGCGCTCGCCAACGCGCCGCCCCCGCCATTTTTTTGCGGCGCTGCGCCCCTGGCCGCCGGCAGTCAGCAGCCCATCGCGGACGTCGGCCGCAGCTCGCCCATCGAGGCCAGATCGCAACAGTGGCCAGCAGCAGCAGCTCCAGCGGCAACGAGCGCCCCGCATCCCGCCGCCTCCCGCCATCGCAAGCCTCACGCCGCCGCCGCCGTCCGAAAACTGGACATCGCGATCGCGCTGGACACCGCGACCGTGCCCATCGCTGCGAAGACCGCCCCCGCGCCGAAGTTGCCCGTGGGCCCCTCGCTGCTCAGCAGCGCGACGACGTCGTCCCTGCTGGCCGTTCATCGGGCCGCGTTGCGCCGCGAACCTCCCGCGCGGCACGCTCTGCAGCTCGCCCCGCCCCCGCCGGCCCGTCGGGCGACGGCCCCGCCGCGGCGCTCTCCAAGGACGAGATCCATGGAAGCTGGCGGCTGATCTGGAGAAGTCCCCCGCCTCCCCATCGCAGGAACATTGCCGAGGGGCCGCCCATCCTGCCGCGCGTGCTCTCCCTGGCGAAGTGCATCCCGCGCCGGGCCCCGACCCGGCAGCTCGTCCAGCTGGCCCCCCTGCAGAGCTGGACACCGCCTACCAGAGCCTCGCGCAGGAGCAGATCACCATCGCCGCCGACGCATTCCGCGCCCAGTCTGGCCGTTCCCACGAGCAGTCCCGCGAGGGTTTCCGCGCCCTCCTCCAGCAGCAAGTCCTCCAGACCGAGCGCCGCGCGGGCAACCTTCGCGACGCCGTCGCCCGCGCCCGCCGCGAGCAGGACCGAATGTCCGCCGAGCAGAAGCGCACGCGACAGCAGATCGACCAGATGCGCGACACCCTCGCCCTCGCCGGGTCTCAGATTCCCATGTCGTGGACCCCGCTCGCCTCGCCAAATGGGGCCGCGCCCCCGACCCCGCGATTTTCACTGTTGGCTGCCGGCGCCTCGTCTCGCCCGACATCTTTCCAAATGGCCCGCAGGAGTGGGTCGGAGGTGCCGGCCTTCAGTCTGATCGCATCGAACTTCGCGGCCGCGAGCCTGCCCGCCGCTTCGCCCCTCAAGTCGAAGGCGCCCGCGACGTCGCTGCGCCCCGCGCCCTCGCTCTGCAGCGGGGCCTTCGAAATGCCGCGGGGAAACGAGGGCGATTCGTCACCGCCGGCGCCGCTGGGCAGCGCGCTGACATCCACCTCGACGGCGACAAGTCCCCGAAGCAAATCCGCACTTAGATCCAGCGCAAGAAGCCCAAGTCGTTGCTCCAACACCAACGCCCCAACCTGCAGTTGAGGGCCACCCGCAGCAAGGTCGAGATCCACAGCAAGGCCACGCCCGCCGCCCGCCGGCGCCCGCGGCCAGGCGGGCCCCGCCGCCCCCGTGGAATGAGAAAGCCCTCGAGCTCCAGCAGTTCCACGACATCGACCGCGCGGCCGTCCTCTCCTCCTTCCAGGCCCTCTCCTCGGACGCCGGGGCCGCCGCGCGGGGCCCCCGACCGCCCGCGGGCGCCATGGCAGGCGCCTGGAGGCTCGTCGCTTGCCGCCCTCGTCAGCTGGAGCGCGCGGGCGCCGATGTGCCGCGACCGGGGTCAACGAGTCTGACCGCGCGGCGCCCGCGATCGACAGCGCCTTCATTGGGCCCCCATCATGCCGCGCAGGAGCTCACCTCGCCGGTCGACGCCGCCCTGTCGGACAAGCGCATCAGCGACCGCGCCGTCGTCGCTCTCACCCCTGGCATCACGCCGCGCGCGCCGCCCGCCGAGGAGGCCATGCCGCCCGCGATCTTCCGCGGCCCGCGCTACGTCGGCCACTTGCAGCTGCTCGTTGGCGCCTCCAACGCCGCCCGCGCCCCCATCGAGAACCGCTGGCGGCCCCGCAAGTTCCTCGCGGCAGACGCCGCTCGCATGGTTCGCGACGAC